CTTGAAGACGAAACGAGACAGTAGTTGGGTCTACTTCGGGTAGTTTGCTACTATGAGGATGTTTTCCCAAACCAGTTATCGGGATTGCCTCCACATCGGGATATAGACTTTACCATTGAGTTACAACCTGGTACATCTCCTATTTATATGATGCCTCATAGGATGGTATCTGCGGAGTTGCAAGAGCTCAAGGTCCAGTTGAAAGAATTGTTAGACAAAGGTTTTATTAGACCGAGTACCTCAACTTGGGGTGCTCCGATATTATTTGCCAAGAAGAAGGATAGGACCCTTAAGCTATGTATTAACTACCAGTAATTGAATCAGGTCATTATCAAGAACAAGTACCCACTGTCGAGGATCGACGACTTTTTTGATCAACTGAGAAGGATACAAGTCTACTCCAAGATAGATCTATGCACGAGATACTATCAATTAAGGATTAGTGAGGCTGATATTACTAAGCCAATGTTCAGAACACGATACGGGCACTTCGAGTTTACCGTTATGCCTTTCAGTTTGACGAATGTCCCAGTAGCATTCATGGATCTCATGCACAAGGTGTTACAATCCTACCTTGACCAATTTGTCTAATCTTTGTTGATGTCATTCTAATCTTCTCCAAGTCTAAGGAGGAGTATGAGGATCACTTGAGGATCGTTCTCCAGACCTTGAAAGACCACCATTTTTACATCAAGTTCACCAAGTCTGAATTTTGGCTAATGGATGTTAAGTTTTTGGGCCACATTGTGTTCGCTACGGGTATGTCAATTGACCCAAAGAAGGTTGAAGCAGTTTTGAGTTGAGAGAGGCCTAAGTCAGTCTTCGAGATACGCAAATTTTTTAGGTTCATTGAGAACTTCACACGACTAGGTACACTTATGACTAGGTTGGCCAGGAAGATGTCAAATTCCAGTGGGATGACTCATATCAGAGGGAATTTTAGGAGTTGAAGAGGAGGCTTACTTTAGCTCCTATCCATGTAGTACCAAAGAGAGGACATAGTTACACAATCTATTGTGATGCCTCAAATTATAGACTTTGATGTGTTCTGATGTAGTCCGGAAGGGTGGTAGCTTACGATTCATGATAGTTGTAGAGCCACAAGTATAACTACCCCACATACGACATAGAGTTTGTTGTTATTGTATTTGCCTTGAAGGCATGGTGCCACTATCTATATGGAGAGTAATTTAAGGTGTTTTTAAACCACAAAGATTTGAAGTACATCTTTAAGCAGCGAGACCTCAACATGATGTAATGCAGGTAGATGGAATACATATTCTACCAGTAGGTCTTAAATAGAGAGTTATTCTATCAATAGTTATGAAGAGCTACCAGTTCGTCAGAGGCAAAAGCTTTGCTACCGATAGGTCATTTTGTGCTTTCTACCAGTAGGTTAGTATTTTTTTGTGGCGAGAACTCTTTTGGAAAGTCTATTTGTTGGGACTTAAAAGAGCCATGATTGGTGGATTAATTAGAGGGTTTTCAACAAATACTCTCCTATAAATACCCAAGTCTAGCCAAAGAGAAGACATCATCAATAAACTGCTCCATAGACGTTCTTTCATATTTTTGTTCTTTCTTCTTCTCCTAGGGCTAGAATTTTTCTTTTCACGAGTTCTTCCATTGTTCTCAATTCAAAGCTTCGTTTTACTTTTAGTCCTTCAATTCTTGCAAGGCGAATACTTTAAGTTTTTTTTCCGTGTAATGATTTACATTAATTGTAATTTAATTCAAGGTAATTTCTTTTATTTGCCATTTCAATTTCAGCTTTATTTTACTTTGAATACAGCCTGTTCATCATAAATATGCTCTGATATAAAGACTAGCCATTCTACAACTGAAAACAGTCTCTCTTGTGGATAACGAACACCTGCATTCTTCCAGACGACCTTCGCAAAAGGACAGCTCATAAATAAATGGAAAAAGGACTCATAAGAATCACCACACATGAAACAATAATTGACAACCTGGACTCTTCTCCGCTATAAGTTACATAGAATAGGTAAAATGTCAAGAAACAACCTCTAACCAAAATTTTTAATTTTGTTAGGCCCTTTTAGAGACCAAAGAAAGAGGCTCAGCCATTTATCCCCTCCACTACTCAACGAACCCAGAGTCATGATGGAACCCAACTAGATTTTGTTCAATTGCCAAATGATAAGCTTTAGGATCCAAAAAATGACCAGATTTCGTATAATGCCTCCGTAATCGATCATCTGGTAAATGTGGACAAATTTGGATGGAGAGAATCTCCTGAACTTCAAAATCCAAAAAATGTTGTCAAAGTAGCACAACATTCCAACTCTTACTCCTATTATCAAAAAAGAAACTGACCTTAGGTGCTGCATCGAGATCACGCAGATGACTAGTTGACTTGAAAGAAAATGGTCTAGGAATCCACTTGTCAAACTTAACACTTATACTTTGACCATCCCCAACCCTCCATCTCAACCCCGCTTCCACGATCAGTTTAGATGCTAAAATGCTCCTCCAAGAATATGAAGGATAAGAGCAAGACGAGCTTCCCTCAATGAGTAGGAAGGAAAATATTTGGCCTTGAGAAAGTAAAGAATCTGGATGTTGAATGAGCCTCCAGTACTGTTTCGCTAGCAAGGAAAGATTATAAGCTTTAATATTGTGAAATCCCATAACACCTTTCGACTTTGAAGACAGCTTTTGCCAAGAAACCCAATGAATTTTCGTGCTTTCCACAGATTGACCCACCAAAAGTTAGCCATAAGTTATTCATTTCTAAACAAAAGGAAGCTCGGACTTTGAAACATGACATAGCATATGTAGGTATCGCCTGTGCCACAGATTTAATCAAAACCTCCTTCCCAGCATGAGAAATAAGCTTACCCTGCCAACCTTGAACTTTAGCCCAAACCCTTTGCTTAATATTATCTAACATCTGCTTGTTTGTTCTCCCCAATACAGAAGGCAAGCCCAAATATTTCTCATGGCTCACCACAACCGTTAAAGGCAAAAATTCCAAAAATAAACAATCGCAGATTTGGACATATTAATAGTCTAACCTGAAGCTTTCTCATAGAGTTAAACAATTTTTAATCCTCTCAGCATTGTACTTGTTTGCTTTCACGAAAAATAAACTATCATCCGCAAAGAGTAAATGTGTAAACATTGGACCTCTTCTTCCAGTCGATATACCCTGGATACCTCCAACTTCTTCCCTTTTAAGAAGTGTCGAAATTCCTTCAGAACACAATAAGAATAAATAGGCAGACAACGGATCGCCCTACCTTAACCCCCGCTGTGGATGAAAAAAACTCATTTGATCTCCATTCATGATAAGTGAATAAGAAACTGAAGAGACACATTTCATAATCAACCGAATCCACCGACATGCATTATTGTTTCAAGAAAACACCATTCCACCCGATCATACGCCTTACTCATATCCGATTTCAAAGACATATAACCTTTCCTACCACCCATCTTGGTCTTCATATAATGATTAAGCTCATACGCAATCAAAATATTATCCGTGATTAACCTACCAGGCACAAAAGTACTCTGAAATTCCAAAATCACCTCAGGAAGAATAGACTTTAGACGATTAGCCAATACCATAGAAATAATCTTTTAGATCACGATACATAGACTAATTGGATGAAAATGAGACATTTCCTCTGGATAGTTCACTTTGGGGATTAAAACAACATGAGTAAAATTGATTTTCGAACCAATATTTCCATTATTCAAAAAATCTAAATCCAGCTTTGTTACATGGCTGCTAACTACACTCCAACACCTTTGGTAAAAGACAGGACCCATACCATCCAGACCAGATGCTTTTGAAGGATGAAATTTCTTAACAGCTGCGACCACTTCATTGGAAGTAAAGGTTGAAGTAGCCTAGAATTCATAACCCGTGACACTCGTTGAGGAATGAACCTTAACACCTCCATCATGTCATCCTAGGAAATAGAAGAAGAAATAAACAATTTCTGGAAGTACTGAACAGCAATATCCTCCATCTGATCTTTATTCGAACACCACACTTTCACTTCTCAAACCTTTAATAGAATTTCTCTGACATCGCAAATTAGCGTGAGCCTGAAAAAACTTAGTGTTTATATTACTCTCTTTAAGCCATAATTCCTTTGACCTCTATTTCCACTTAATATCTTTAGCTGCCATCAACGTATGGTTTTCTAAATGGATATCCCTCAGCTCCTGTCTCATATCCTCCGTCAAATCCGAAAATGGATTACCGAAATACGATTCTGATTCTCAGTTAACCTTCGAGGGACATTATCAAACCTACACTTCTTCCATTTCAACAAACCAATTCTACAGGATCTAATCTTATTCATAAATCTTTGTTCAGTTGAACCCCCATTAGAACCTTGCCATGCAGATTGAAAAACCCCCTGACAAGAATCATCTAACAACCACATTGGTTTAAATCGAAACATTCTCTTCTTTACACGCACAAGAGTCTGTAAGAAATCCATTACACAAGTATGTCTCATACCCGATCAAGCCTCTCCCTCACAGTAAAAGGATGAGAAAATCCATTCCACTAAGTAAATGGAGGACCCTGAAAACCCTAATAATCCGCAATTATTAATAACCCTCCTATAATCCCGCATCTACCACTAAGGTCTTACTGATCCTCCATATTTCTCATTAGCTTCAATAATCTCGTTAAAATTTTCCCCACACATCCAAGGCATAGAAAATCGATTATGCAACTTAGATAATAGAGACCAAGAATTCTTACGCCTGGAGGCCTCGAGGTGATCGTAAAAAACAATAAATCTCCACTGATCAACCAAACCGTCATTGATAACAGCTTCAATATAAAATCTGAAAAACTTCTAAGACTCCCTCGAAAATCCCTCTTCCATAACCATGCAATACCACCAGCCTGTCCTCTTGCATCAACAACCAACCCTTGAGACAAACCCAAATGCCTCTGTATCCAAGGAAAATTACGAGAAACTAGTTTGGTTTCCATCAAAAAAACCAAACTAGGATCTTCCTTCTTCCCAAAATGATGAAGAGCCCGAACTGTCCGAGGTTTCCCAAGCCCTCGACAGTCTCGCCGCCGATATTGTAGTTGAGTTCTGAAGATTGCCATCTACCAAACCAATCCTTACCCTTTTTGCAAAGAGACCATCGTCAACTTTCCCACTGCTCCGCTTCACTCCAGAAATAACCTCCTGCACAGTCCAGTCTTCTTCTATCTTCAATCCCTCAAAAGCCCTAATTGACTTCCCTTTCTCTCTACGAGAAGGAAGAACTCGTTTAGTTGGAACGAGAGAGGAAGAAATCAACAAGGCCTTTCTGGATTTTGTTGGAAACATGGGATTTACATTTAAACCCGTGCTTAATCTCAATGGGGCCTGACCCAGTCACCTTATCTGTTTCGAGAACTATTGACCCACCAGAAGAATCCAAGGCCAGGCCCACCTCAAATAAGAGAGGCTCTTATAGACAAATTGGAGAATGGGCCTGAATTAAATCAGAACGACCCAGCCCAATAAACTGCGTATTGACAGCGGCATGAATAATAGTTTCCACTCCCTCAACCTGAGGAAGCATAACTAGATCGGTTAATTTCTGCAACTCCAAATTGTCAGATTCCCCCTATCTATAATAACCACCTCTTGTACAACTTCTTCCTTAGAATTAGGTGATAAATGAGGAACAGGAATAGACACATCGGACAACTGACAGTTGGGACACTGTTACTGATCATAAACCATATATGTGGACATTGCTGAAAATTCGTTGGAGACATCCGCCAGAAAACTCTGCCTAAGAATAAGAATTGATCTTCCAAATGAATCATATAACCAAGGACCATATTGAGCACTACATGGCCTACTTCCCTCTGCCACATTGATTTTATGAGAACATTGTTTCTCAATATGCCCATTCAACCACAATAGAAACACATGTAGGGTAGCCTCTCATATTGAAACAGTGCAAAAAGAGAATAACTCTCAGGTAATTGGAACTTTATACCATGCCAGAGTGGATCAAAGATGTTGATCTGGGCTTGAATTTGAAGAAATTTCTGACCACCATCAATAGATTCCCTTATTGCAACTACTTAAAAAGAATTGAAACTACTTGCAATCTTCAAACCCACCTCTTTTGTGCTGCATTCTCTTGGTATTTGTGCGCGCTAGATCTCGCACAATATAAAAACGAGAACAGATTTCTCCCTTGGTAAACTCGAGTGAATCAGTTGAGTGGTCAACCACGCTGCTTGGAACAGCCTGTGAGATCCGGTGGTAACCTGGGACGGTAATGGGGGACCCTCATAGATCAAAAGAACGATCCAGTAAGGCTGAAGAAAGGTTCCTGGAACAAAGAAAAACAAGTTAGAAGGGCGTCGGAGTGTTTTTCGGCGTATCCCCTCCGACGATCAAGTCAGTTTTTGAGAGAGAGGAAGAAGAAAACACTGAGTATAATTTGTAGCAAAAGTTTCACCTCCTTTCCCTTGCCTTTAGTGAGGAGTATTTATACCTCAAATACTCATGATTGTTGTCAGTGTGGTCAGTAGGTGATCATTAGATACAGGCAACGTGCGCACTGATTCCTATGAGGAATGTCTTCTCTTTTAACTACTCAGGACCCCGAGCAATCAAGACTGTGTCATCGGCCTGCCAACGGTTCAATGAGCTCCTCTTGGGGAGGATGCAATAAATGCCCAGCCTTAGAGACATTTATTGCCTTTCACTTTCGAACCTTACCGCATTGAATGCAGTCTCATCAAGGGAATGGTGTAATTAAATGCTTGTTTTTCCAAGTCACGTGTCAGTAAGGTCATGCAGTCTTTCTGTCTCTGATGTGACACAATATGTCACGCGTCCATTCCCCATTGGTTGTGGCCCCTGCCTTCCTGTGCCTTCTGACACCAATTGTGTAAGACAAGGTCATGATAGCTAACCTAGCCTAGCCTAGGCTAGTGACCAGTGCATCAATAGCCTCTGCTGGAGCAAAGAACGGCATCCTGGACGAGGGGGGTACATCTCAATACCGAGGAAGAGGTACATCTCAGAGCCGAGGAAGAGGTACATCTCAGAGCGAGGAATAGGTACATCTCAGAGCCGAGGAATAGGTACATCTTGAAGCCGAGGAATAGGTACATCTTGAAGCCGAGAGGGGGAGGCCTAGCGACCGATGTACCATATCAGACCGAGGGTACGTGTCGGTACATAAAAACGTACTGGATGCCACTCGATCCCCATGATCAGTACCTCGGGGGAGAGGGGACTTGTGACCCGATGGGTACATGATCTCGGTAACAAGGATTAATGACACCAAGGACACGTGTCTTCATCTCAGAGTATTTTGGAAATGTCCCATCAACTGCCCCCAGCCTTCGATCTTCTGACACCGAGGACACGCGTCGTAAGGAGACAAAGGGTTTCACAACAACCCCAACTGTTTTATCATTGCTTCTAGCCGATTTCCCCTGCTTAGGACGTCGTGCGTATTAAATACGTCTTTTCGTGCTTCGCGCCCAATGATGGGAAAGGTGCTATATATAAATGGGCTTCCTCTCTTATTTTCTCATTTCATCGTTCTGAACTTTTCTTCACAGAGCCCTCGCCGGAGACTTCGCCGGAGATCCCTTTCCTTCCGTTGTCAACTGTCCAACCATTTCACCGGAGTTTTAAGGCCAGCAGACTCATCTTTGCTTCTGAAACATTCTGGAAGGAGTCGCTTCAAATTTTCCAGAAAAAACTTCTTTTTACATTCTGGTGAGTCCCAGTATTTTTCCTTTTTTCGTCCTTCTGTCCCTTTTGGTTTTCCGATAACTGGAGGTGCCTCTGGTTGCCACTTAGCGACCAATCCTCGGGAAGCTTCCTTGGGGACCTTTAAGGGAAAAAATATCCTCCACTTTTTCTCACTTTCTTCGAGATGCCTCGTCGTCGCCCTGCCCCCGAGAATCCTCAGGCCAGTTCTTCGGGGTCAGGGAAATATAAAGTAAAGGGTGGTGAGCAAATTAATAGGTTTAAGGTCAAGTACAGCATCCCACAGTATGTAGACATAGAGGATTATAACCCGGCTGTGCACCCTCGTGCCCTCGGTACCGAGGGTGCAATGCCCTTTTATACCAAAGCCATCATAGAAGGCGGAATTAGATTCTCTTTGCCCCTCTACTTCTCCAGTTCCTCTCCCATTTCCACCTTTTCCCCGGGCAGTGTTGCCTTAATGTCATGGGGGTCCTAGAGCTTAATAGGCGTCTCGGGGTGAATGTTGGACTGAATGATATCCTTTTTTGCTATTCCCTCTTAAGAGTCATGCCTCAACAACACTTCTACCTCAAAGCCAGGGACCCATCTATGTACCTCGTAACTCACCTTCCCGACTCGGACAAGGGGTACAAGGATGACATACTTATCTTCAAGGGATCTTGGCAGAGAGGTGTCGGTCCCGAGTATAACGGTTTGTTATGCCCTTTGGAATGGAGAACGACAAGTACGTCGATTCCTTCGGGTCTATTATTTTGTTCTTGAGATTTTCTATGTTCATGACTCCTTTTTTGTTTGTGCAGACGTCCCTGCTCGGGAAACAGCTCCTCCCCCTCGGTCGTTGGTGAACTTTGCCGACCTAGTCACAATTTGGAGATTTACTGGTGACGACAGGTTCGGCCGGGCTGCCCACATCCTCCTGAATTACACTCCCGGATATAAGAAGTTTTCACAGCTTCCCTAGCCTTTCGAGCCTTCGCGGTGGTCTGAACTCTTTGATCAGTTGGTGGGACAAGAGGGCGAGGAGAATTTGGAGGAAGACCCTGACCGGGCTTCGGAGGCAGAAGTAGAGGGTGAAGTTGAAGCGCTCGGGGTCAGAGAGGACTTGGTTCCTTCGCCCGCCGAGGTGGGGACTTCGGGGAGAGATTCGTGGCCAGACTTCCAAATTTTACAATCTCTAGACGCCGAAGACGCCCTCGAGATAGCCATGTCCAGCACGCCTCGCATTGATCTGGGGTTCCTGAGGCAGAGGCAAGCCCTTGCTGCCGGGAGGGGACGAGGATCGGCCGGTGGGGCCCCATCTGCAGGGACCAGCACCACCCCATCCTCAAGAGTCGTCAGTCAGGGGCAAGTGCGTGACCGGGATCCTCAGGTAGAGGAGGAGAGAAGGGTCAAACATAGGCACGATGGCCTTGGCAGGGGATCCAGGGCACCCTCCGCTCAGCAGCAAAGTGGGAGAGGCCGTGGGTTACCTCCTGCTCCTCAGCAACAGCAGCAACAACGGCAACAACAGACTCCTCCTCCCCTTCCGCCGACAGTGGAAGCCGCGGAGTGGAATCCTCGAGCCACTGATCACATGAACCGAGTGATCAGGGTCGACGACTCCATTTTGCAGGACCCCCATGTCGCCAATGCAGTGAGTGAGACGCTGCATTTCGAGGCCGACATGGTGGCTCACAGGGGGCGATCAACGAACGTGTTGTTTCGCTCTATCATCCAGAATTCTCTGGTGGTAAGTTTCATCTTTGCTTCAGTCTCTTTTTTTTTTTTTAGCCGCTTTTCTTTTTAGTGACGTGCCTTTTTCCTTTGCAGGCCACCCAACAAATCTCCATAATAGCGGCACGGTATCATGGGGCTAGGATGGACCTCCAGCGGGTCCGAGAGCAGAAGGAAGAAGCGGAGGGAGCCCTCGCCAGTGCTAAGGAGGACGTAGCTGCCAGGGATTCCACCCTCGCGGGGCAGGCTGCTCAAATCGAGCAACTCCTCAAGGATGCCGAGTTGGCTAAGGTCGGCGCTGAAAAGCTAAGTGCTGCCCTTGCCGACGCTGAGAGGAGGATCACAGAGCAGACGCAGCGGCTCTCTGCGGCGGAGGAGAGGGCTGTTGGTTCAGAGGAAAGCTGTCTGGCTCTGACCCAGGAGCTGGACAGGATCAGGGCTGAGGCACAGAACAGGAAGTCCGAGGAGCAACTCCGAGAAGAGTTCGCCGATGACGTGCTCCCCGCTCTTGAAGAAAATAGCAAGGAGTTCTTCAAGAAGGGGTGGGACGAGGCGCTCCAGTCTGCTGGGATCCCGTCAGACTCCCGCTCTTCCAGATGCACAAATACGTGCCCTCGGCAGAGATGGAACAGGCCGAAGCCGAGATTGCTGCCGAGGGCGAGATTCCAACGCCGGTGCAAGTTTCGACGGATCTTCCCGAGGCGGTAATAGTGGATTTGTCTGATGAGGCCCTGTCGGACCAGGCCCCTGACCATAATATTCCTCAGGGTCTCTCTGTTGCCGAAGTACCTCCCACTCTGCCTGCTCCCGAAGCTGCTCAACCTTTCTACGCCGATTCGCCCTCGGCGGATGTTTTGGAGATGCCCGGGGCAGATAAAAACTTTTTTCTTTTCGATTGTACTTCTTTTTTTTTTTTTTTTGTAACTCTTGGGGACGCAAAGCCCCTCTTTTTGAAATAAAGCTTTTGAATACTTAATACTTTCTTGCGTACACTTTTTTGTGTAGGATTCCTTGAACTGTCTTCAGGGCCTTGCCCTTTTCAGGAGGCTTGCTCTCGTGGTTGTTTCGGGGGCAAGAGTCCTCGAACTCTGTCCCCAGGGCCTTACCCTTCCAGGAGGCTTGCTCCTGTGCTTTCCTGAACTCTTCCCCAGGGCCTTGCCCTTCAGGCTTCTCCTGTGTTTGCTTCGGGGCAGAGTCCTTGAACTCTGTCCCCAGGGCCTTGCCCTTCCAGGAGGCTTGCTCCTGTGTTTGCTTCGGGGGCAGGAGTCCTTGAACTCTGTCCCCAGGGCCTTGCCCTTCCAGGAGGCTTGCTCCTGTGTTTGCTTCGGAGGCAGGAGTCCTTGAACTCTGTCCCCAGGGCCTTGCCCTTCTAGGAGGCTTGCTCCTGTGTTTGCTTCGGAGGCAGGAG